TGCCTCAAAAACTGACCTTTCGAAATCAGAGATCAAGCTCATTTGGGCTATCTTGACAGGTCAATCCTTCTCTCTTCCTCACCTCATAATATTCCATATGTACAGAGCATTGCAGAAAGATAAGGGTCATCTGCCATATGGAGCTTTGATCACTCGTATCTTCATGTATCTCAATTTATCTATTCCTGGTGAGTTGCGAGAAACTATGCTTCCCCTTATGTTTGTTGGAGAAAAAATGCTCTCCAAAATGAAGAAATTTGAAGATATCAGGGACATAGTAAAAAGGAAAGAGGCTCAACAGTCAGAGGCCAAATCTGTTGGCAAGAAAATTCAGAAAGAAAAGGATCAAAGGAAAAGAACTAGTTCAGCAAGCAAGCAAACTGATTCTCCAACCCCAATCAAAGTGTATAGAAAGAAAAGAAAAACTCTTCTGCATGATGAAAATGATGAAGCAGAAGCAGCATACTTTGAATCAGGTCACACTGCAGAACCAGAACATGTTCCTGAACCAGTTCCAGAACCAATTCATGAAGAGCATGTTTCTGAAGAACAATCACCTGTTCAGGGGGAGATTCCACCAGAATCAGCCGCAGGGTACAATCAGTCTGAAGAAGCTAATGACCAAGGTCAGCCATCTGAAAATCAGAACATCCTTTCGATTCTGCTCGAGATAAAGGACAAGCAGGCTGCTCTAGAACAAAATTTGCAGAACCTACAGAAAATTGTTGAGGAAAACACCAAGGCTCAACAACTTCAAGCAGCAGCAGATAAAGCGGAATTAGAGGGAGCCATTGCTATGTGCTCATCCAGCATGGATAAAGCCATAGGTCAATGCAGTTCGAAGATTGAGGAGGCTGTCTCAATATTGGAAAATTTTCAACTGATTCGTACTCCTAAAAAATAGCCTGTTTTTCAACATTTCTCTCTATTTTTTTCAATTGGTCTGTAATATTTCTCTTACTTATTGTTAGACTGATTGATTACTTAATATCAATGCATTATTCTATCTATTACTATTCTTTTTGTTGATGACAAAAAGGGGGAGAAATCATATTGCAGATTTACAGGTTATTCTCAAAGGAAGAAAGACACAGATATCAACAGAGTTTGCTATTTCAATCTGTGTTTATTGAGCTTAATATGTTTAAAATAATTCAATCTGCAAAGAAAGTTTTGTCACCATCAAAAAGGGGGAGATTGTTGAGGAAAACTCCTATTAATTTTGAAGTTGACAAAACCTTCTATGTTATTGTAAATCGATACTTATTCGAACTATTCCAGTCGTATATTCCGGAAGCTCGGAAGAAAGTTATTCGAGACTTTACAACTGTCAAGTATATTTTGAAGACCCACATAATCGAAGTTACGAGATTCGAAGGCGAAGTTATTCGGATGCGGATGCGAGAAGTTATTCGAGATGCGGATGCGAGACGAAGAAATTATTCGAGACGAAGAAATTCGTCGAGACGAGAAGAAATTATTGGACGCAGAAATTCTTGACGCAGACGCAGGAGTTCTTCGATGCGGCACGAGAATATCTTGACGCTTGAATTGAACGTAACACAACAGCTAGTGATCTAGCATGGATTTCACAGAAGGAATGTTCTGATTGTCTCAATCTGAATCAAATTGATTGACAATCAAACATCATGACAAGAATGCATTACAACGGACAAAGTTCTACTTATGGAAACCAAGATTCTGATTGTATGGGCAACCAGAATCAGCGGGATTCAGAATCTGTCAACCAACGGCTACTCAATCCTTACTATACAAATCTGTCCAAGGTAAAGATTGGAAGATGATCCTCTGAAAGCTGTCCAACGGCTAGTTTGGAAGCAGAGGAGTATTTAAGGAGATCAACGAGCAGCAGAAGGAAGTACAGAATCAAGAATCAACAGGTCCAAAGTCTGAGCTTAATCCAATCATTTTTCTCTTGTCATTCTGAGCCAAATATTAAGATCTTGAGGAACACTTTGTAAGAGTGATTGTGTGAGATAGAGAGTCCTATCATACACAAGAGTGTTAACACTCAGAAGTTGTAATTCCTCTTGATTACATAGTGAAATCCAGCCAGTAGGCTGTAAGCGTGGGAGAGTGGACGTAGGCTTGCTATAAGCCGAACCACTATAAACTTGTGTGCAGATTCTCTATCCCTTATCTCTTACTTTACATTCTGCACATCAAGAGCACAGTCTATATAATCTGTCTTGAATCTGAATTTTATTCAGACTCTTCTGTGATTTATTTTGTTTCCGCATAAATTACTAAAAATTGTTTTAGATCACCTATTCACCCCCCTCTGGGTGATCCTTGCTAGCTACAACAAATTGAACATACAAAACACGGTCAAAATATAGGTGTTCAGCGATGCAACCTTTCGTGATTTTTGTTTTTTCAAATCTAGAATCAAAAGATTCAATTAGTGTCAAGAAGGCAAATAGAATAGAAACTGAGTTGTTATCCTTATGAAGAAAGGCTCCCTTATTAATAAACCATACCAATGTGAAAGCCTCCGGTAATATTGTCGAATATACAAGCAAATAAAAGCCTAGAAAAGTTATTTGACAATTCACTCGAAAACCTATATTTATAGGATCACGTCTAAGCATGTACAATACAAAGAGTACTTGAGATTAAATTTCTCAAAGTTAGATTATTGTGGCATTTAAGATAAGGTAATAAAAGATCTTTAAGTTGAATGAAGTGCTCTTCACATCTTTTACGGCTACAATTTCACAGAAAGGGAAAGAAAAGACAGGAGGGTCTGGTTGAATTCCATGTATTTTGCTGGAGCATAATTGGCTATAGGACGGCAGTGCACGAATTTGAAATGCTAGGAAGTCAAAGTCTTCGTTAAAATGACATTGCTGGGGTCGCAAATTTGGTTGTGTCGATTGTGTTGGTGGGGTTTACTTGGGTGTGGAAAATTCTTGGTGCCATAGAAGCCTACCTTAGCTGAATGCATGAAAGACAATGGTGGGGAGCTTTGAGGGCATCCATTCTAAAGGGGGCATTGACAAATCGGTACTGATAAGTTTGGATTTTATTGGGGATGTTTTCTTGCAATGCCACATCAAGCCTGGACTTTGATTGGTCTACGCATACACGGTGCGAAAGACTTGTTCACTTTCTTTGAAAGGCAAGTCTATGGTGGCATTTTACACTTCAAAGACACGTGTGGCTCTATCATCTCGTAGACGAATTTGGATAATCCTTTATGGGGAAAAGTACACTAAAAATATCATAACTTTCATACGGCATTCATTTTAGTGCCAAAACTTTTTGAGCGATCACTTGAGTGCTTCATCGATAAAAAAAAAAAAAACGAGATCTTTGAAGTGTCTCCAGCGACATATTCCGTCAAAGAGTCCTACGTGGCTTTTTTAATAAATTTTTTAGTTCGGCGTGGCTTTTTCTGAAAAAAAAATCAAGTCTAGAGTGGAAAATGGATGAAATGATGCAGCAATTGGGAGTCCAAAACGACCGAGTTCGAAGAAATGGATTCTCTCTCTTCTCGGAATTTTCTCGCTTTTCTTTTTCTCTGTTTTTCTTCACCATTCCATGGGTAGAACTAGAACACTCACAAGCTCCAACAGATGAATTTGGCCACCGACGAATGAACGACTTTCTGAGAAAGAGATGAGCTCCACAGTTGCCACAATCGGGATGTAAGTACAAGCAATGGAGATAACAAGTTTTCAATAATCATGGACTCGAAATTCTGGGTTCATTTCACAATCTTTGTAGATTCAACTTGTTCCCGGACAAATTGCAGTCAATTGAAGTTCAATCAAGTCTCCAGTTTATTTTAATAAAATCATTTTTAATGTGCGAAGTTGAGCAAAGTACTCCGGAAGTTGGCTGGACAGGAGAGAAAATTTGTTGCTTTCCATATTTCCTGAGGGGTATGTTTTTCCTTTCCATTCTTTCTTGTGTGTCGGCAATGCATAGAGATTGTTTCAATAGAGCTAGAAGTACGCAAAACTTTACAAAGGAAGAACTGAACGTAGAAGTATATAATAAGCATATGATCTGTCCCATGGCAGTTCAATGGGCTTATTCTTCATCTTGCAATGCAAAGAACAAACACTCTAGATTCTCTTCTTTGATAAGATCTGCAAGCATTCATCCTCCACTTCTTTCTCATTTTCGCTCCTTTCCTTTCAAACGATCCTGCAGGCGATTCATGTTTTCTGAATTCGAGAACAATGTATCATAGAGAGAGTCCAACCACAATTATTCACCCATCACCCATCAAAACCAGCCTCCATGCTCTGTATCATTTTCCTAGAATGATGGTTACTGGTGGAATTTCTTGTATACCGTTTGCGCATAACTCTGGCAATGGAAATCCGCATAATTCGAGATTCCGGACGAATGAGTCGTTCTTGAATGTGTTCGAAATTGCCTTCTTTGAGGAATAGGTCGGATCAGCTGATTCGCTGAGAGGTTCAAGAATCATGATCGAAATTTTATATGGGTTCTTCTTTATATATATTGACATTTAGGGTCAGAAATTTTCGAAACGACCATTTAACACAAGCACGCTAGATGTAGTTAATTAAGTGCATTAGAATTGAGATTAGTCATGTTTATGTCATAGACAGGTCTGCCTATGTAAATACATCGAGAACTGACCCTTTAGTTTAGACATATTAGCATATGTTTCACCTTTTTTACACGTTTATTGTACGTGATTTTTTCTATAAAATTGTTAAGCAAATAAGCATTGTGGAGCCTGTTTAATAAATTCATTGTGCCTGGGTTGCAAAGATATGACACATCCAATGAGGATATCATATTCAGATTAGACCTAAAGAGGTTACAAGACGATGACACGAATTGGTAGCTCTATTGACAGAAGCCGCAACAATCATACTAGAGTACATATTATCACACAACTTGCCAAGAAGCTACGCAACAATGGTATTTAAGAATTAATTGGTACTCTAGAGGTTGGAAGGGCCTCAACAAGTGGGATCCGACCTCATGAATTCCTAAACATAATTGCAGAGCCCCAATAGACAAAAGTCGCCCTTATTGCACCTATTGTTACAACCCCCGCAATGCTTCCAATTGAACGATAGATTCACACACATCCCTTTGCAACAAATCTCATTGTACTTGCACTTCTTCCCGCACATCCCGCAGTTAAGCCGGTCGGCCAGCAGATTGACGCACTTCTTCTTGCAATCGGGACTTCCCTTTGCGCGGCATATCCTAGGAAACTTGTTGCAAGTCAAGTGATGCGTGCGCTTCCTTTTCTGCGAAAGGAACCGGCTTGGGGCAAAGGATAAGGCAAGGCGATGTGAGAGCTCGGCATTTGGCTCATACTCAAACTCCCTGAGCACTTCGTCGTAATCTGGATCATAGTCCGTCTTCTCATGCGACAATGCATCAGTAACGAGGGTAATAGCCACTATCGATAAGATGAAAATGGATAAGATGTTGCGGGACTTCATGGTTGAAGAGGGAGTGATTGTTGAGGGAAGATGGGAGGATTTTTGGGTGAATATAGAGCCTAGAGATGCGATGGTCACTGAGAAATGGCCTGAATGAGGAATGTGTAGAGACTACAGATGTTAAATGTTATTTATACCTGAGCTGATTGTCAAAATGAGTTGACATCTGTGCTCTCTTTTGAGATTTTGGTGCTAAGTGGATTGGTCCAAATTCAACGACTAAAAATAATTTAAAGAAAGATAAAGACAATGAAGGTCATAGACCTTTTCACTAGATTCGAAAAACTTCAATTAGGGTCATGCAAACAATCTCTAGAAACGTAATAATCAAACGAAACTCATGGACAACGTTATCATACAACACCTCTCTCTCTCTCTCTCTCTCTCTCTCTCTCTCTCTCTCTCTCTCTCTCTCTCTCTCTCCAATCAAATATGAGAGTTGATTTATGACTGTGATCAATACTCTTTCTGTACTCTTAATCTGTAATGACTCGAAGACCAGATTAGCACAATGAGCAAACCCTCAGCTGATCCTTAAAACATCTCATGTTTATGAGGAAAGATTATCAAAAACATCTCATGTTCATGAGAAAAGATTATCAAAAACTCCCCACTATGGTGTAATTAATCTGTTGCATCGTTCTTCTATCCCCCAAGAAAGCAAGCGCACGCATATAATACATATACGGCAAGTTAATCTTCTTTTGTTCTTTCATGGAGAAGATGGTACACACAAGGGGATAAGACCACGGTGAAGAAAAAGTGGGCGATGGTGACATCGATGGATCGCTACAAATCTAGGCACGTAAGAAGGTTGACTTGTAGGCATTCAGATCTGTACTCGTCGCTTAAATGGTCTGACTTTGGTTCAGACAGAAGCCATGCAAAAGAGGTCTGATTCTCAACTCTCGCAAACAAAGGTCAATGCAAATGCTTGTTAGGCCCAGAATCGGTTTATGTCTGTACCTCGCTTCACTCCAAAGTAGGAAACAGATGGACAGGACGAGGTGAGGAGTAGAACCCCCTTTTGATTCTCCGTCTGTCTTTTATTTCTCTGCTCTTTTTCTGAAGTTGACTTTTCGATGCAGAAATGGGTTGAGAAAACGACACATATGGTACACGAATGGTTCGTGAGCTTTTAACTTGTTTAATATAATCTCTGAGATAATATGATCCCTAAATTTTCAGTTTATTCAATATAGTACATGGACTTTTGGTACATATTCAGTTTAATCCTTAAATTATATCAAAATATTTAATATTGTCTTTAAACTTGAATTAATGGAATGACAATATTTAACATTTTCATATAGTTCGGGGACTAAGTTGAACATCTACCAATAGTCCATGAACCACATTAAACAAATTAAAAATTCAAGGACTATATTGGGTCAAAGTTCAGAGACTATTTGTGTCATAATCCCAAGTGGGTTCATGAACAAGAATGGGCTGGCTATATTTGAAAAGATTGGCTTGATGGTTGCTCTAAATCATGCCTAAAGAAAGAAAGATTGACCTCTTAGCGATGACGCATTGCTCTAAGGATCAAGAAATTGAATCAAAGACTGCCCAAAATAAATGAAATAATTGTCTCCTGAAATTAAAATATATATCATATATATGAAATTAATTCATAGATCAGTGTTTTACTTGATTATAGTTTGTGATATGAAGTCCGAAGCATAGAATAAAAATTGATGATGAGACACGTTGAGGTCAAAAGAATACACATACCAAAGTTAGGCATATGGACACTATGGCACCAAAGTAATAGGACAATACATGTAATTATAAAATAAAAAAAGTGCATAATAATTGGTCTTAGCTTCATATAGGCCACAACCTAATTTTAGATTATGTGGGATTCCACCAAAATATTCATTCGAGACTTGCCAGGTTCAAGTGCGTAGATAAACTCATGTCGCACATGCCTTGCTCATGAAATAAATTTGCCTCATGCCTTCAGCTGAGTGTTGCATATAATCAATTATATAACGACGCAATCCCACAAAAGTGGAGAGTGATTGTCAAGACGAGAGGGCCCGAACAAAGAGTAGCTCCCGACAGGCTTCTAAAATTGTGAAGAAGGCAGAATGAACTGAATTGCACACCAAATACGAAAACAGCGTTCATGTATTATATATGTATAATTGAAATAAACTCAAAAAATGAGCCTTTTGAATATGGGCGATCTTCCGAGAAAATGTCTACATAATTGTTAAAAGAAAAAATCATAAATTTTGGTATGGAACGAGTCAAAACTAAAAATACTTTAAATGAGTTAATTTTTAGCATCACAATTAATGAAAAAATGGAAATTGTAATCCTAACATACTCTGCTAATCTGTTAAAATTAAAAAAAAATGTGACCAAAAAAAAAGCACAGAATTTTCTCTGGGTTTTCTTAGTACACCTATTATTATCGTAGAAAAAACTGTGGTTGCAAAATTTTCTCACTTGTTTTTTCTACGTTCGAATTTACCACTCTACCCCCTCGAAAACGGAAAATCTCGTTTAAGGCAACGAACGGCATAACAGGAGCGGGACACGACGCCGAGCAGTTGGGAACCGCCGCGCTTCCATGGCTACTCCCGCCGTGGAAAGCTTCGCCGTGGCGGCGCTCCGCTCCGTCATGGTCCGAGTCCGCCAGGCGGCCGAGCGATCCGGCGCCCGCGCCGGGAGCGTGCGCGTCGTGGCCGTCTCGAAAACCAAGCCGGTCTCTCTGATCCGCGACGTCTACGACGCGGGTCACCGCTGCTTCGGCGAGAATTACGTCCAGGAGTTCGTCGAGAAAGCTCCTCAGGTCTCTCTCCCTCTGAACATTAGAGCGCTCCGATCAGTTTTTGATTGTGTTCCGTTCGCAGGTTTTGCCGAGATTGCGATTCGTGTTCGTAAGGTTGATTTGAGCTCTTGATCGGGTCATTAGAATTCGATTCGTGTGTTTGAGGAGGTGCATTGGATTGATTGGAGGGTGAAATTTGGGGTTTGTGGCTTTGAATCTGAACGGCGCGCGTCCTTGTGCAGCTGCCGGAGGACATCGAGTGGCATTTCGTGGGGCATTTGCAGAGCAACAAAGCCAAAGCGCTTCTCTGTATGAACAGTTGTTCCTTGCTATTGTTCTGTTTAAAATTCGAAAGAAAGGATTTTGCGCCTTCCTCTCCTAGGATATGTTTGTTTCCTTATCGATGGAAAAGATGACTTGTGTTTTGAAGTAAAAATGTCAAGCCTTCCGTGCTTTTTTTTTGGCAATCATATAGAGTGCGTGTTGTAAATTATCTCCATTGTGTTTCTGTCTATAGTAATAGTTTGATTATTGCAGCTTAGCTCGGAAACAAGTTAAATTGTTAAAGTGTCACGCGTAGATGCAGAGTTGGTGCATGCGCGGAGACTGGATGATTAGTTCTCCTTCTTTAGTCGTTTTAGTTCATGGCTGAGCTTGAAGTTGGCTACGGTACACTTTGAATAGCACCGAAACCGTAGGTCATGGATTTACGTTGAGATGTCTGCGAAACTTTTCTTTGTGAGCCATCACAATTGTCGCTTATGGGAATGGAAATGATATGGTGATCGCTTACGAGGTCTCCTTTTTAAATTTGCACGACTTTGTTCTAAAATATTTCATCTTTATCACAATTTGACACATGATATTTTTATCTGTACATTCAGCTGCAGTTCCAAATTTGGCAATGGTTGAGGGCGTGGACAACGAGAAAGTAAGGACTCCGATCTGTCTTTGCAGAAATTAGAAGCTCTTGCACTTCCATAGCCGTTAGTTATTAGCTAGACACTAGTAGATGGTTTTTTGCTGTAATTTGAATTTAGAACTGTTTATAGTGGGATTTCATGGCTTAACAGTATCTTAAGTGGCGTTCGGACTTATGCTTACATATTGTTGTCCTCGTCAATTTTTTAGACCACAAATGCCTATCAATTCACCATATGTGCTTTTGGAGTTGTTAAGCTTCATTAAAAGTTTCATGGCCTTGGAAAAATCTTGAGGAGGATCCATGGGAAGCTTTCTGGATAAAAATGATCACTGACTACTTCCTTTTTTGCAGATTGCTAACCATCTTGATCGTGCAGTTTCAAGCCTTGGAAGAAATCCATTGAAGGTTTTGGTCCAAGTGAACACCAGTGGAGAAGTGTGTGAGTAAGCAGATAATTATGGCCATGGTCTTTGATTTTTTCAGTAGATTTAGGTGATAGATTAGTGAATTAATCTCTTATTGGGGGATCAATTGGTGCTAAAGTATTTGCTTCTAACTCTGTCAAACTCTGCTGATTTCTCATCCACATGCCTGGTATTGTTAGGCATGTGATTTTAAGCATAGTCGTTCGTGTGCATAAAATGACTGTAGCTGCTCTGTTAATTTCTCCTCAACTCTCTATTTTAAACATAGAGTTAAATTCTGTCATTTCGGGCTTTTAAATGGATTAAATATGATGCTCTTTAGTTATACTTGTTATTTTTCTTCAGTATTCAATATAGATATTGAAAAAGGTTCAAAAAGGTTTTTCTTTGAGCTACATTTTTCATTTACAGTTCATCTTCTTTCTTCCTTGTATCTCCTGTCATGAAGGGCCTTTAACCAATTAATGTCCTCCCTAGTTCAATTCGTGCTGCTCCCATTTCATGGGGTTAGAACCTCTCCCCTGCAGCATGCTGAAGTTTCCTAAAAGATTTTGGTGTATTCTATTAGATGGTCAGAAAAAGAGATTTGTTTTTCTTTTTTTTTTTTCCTGAGAGCAGGTTAATAGAATGCCAAAGTGTATGGATGCGCAATTATAGTTGGACTGGAACGGATGGAGGATTTCTTTTTTATACTGGAAGGAACAAGTGAACATAGCATCAGTATCTTTTGATTAGCCGTGATTGCAGATGATGACTTTTCTTTGGACAAACGATATGCTTTATTGACTGACTAGTCCTCATGACACTGTTGAAGCTAAATCTGGTGTGGAGCCTGCGAATTGTTTGGAACTTGTGAAATATGTCAAATCACGGTGCCCCAACTTGGAATTTTCTGGCTTAATGACAATAGGGATGCCAGACTATACATCAACTCCAGCAAATTTCAAGGTGATGCTTTTTCCTCAATGTCAGGGAATGAAAATGAACCATCTCGTCCATTGTGAAGTCTGAAGTATGCAGCCTAACTTTTTAGGTTCTATCTTCATACTGTTGAGCGTGGTTAATGTGGATCTAAAATTACCTGATATAGGAAAATTCAGGATGGGATTTTCTTCTTCTTTTTATCTGGCTCAGCTTACTTTATTCAGGTTCAGCTTGTTGCCTCTACATGCTAATCTTTTATCAATCATACTGTTTAATGCAACAGACACTTTCAAACTGTAGAACTGAGGTTTGCAAGGCACTAGGAATCAATGAGGAGCAATGTGAGTTGTCAATGGGCATGTCCGGTGACTTTGAGCAAGCGGTAAGTGACATACTCACTTCTTAGTTCTTATTCATTGGTATGTCCAGTTTGGGATCCTCAAGAAGCATTCCTGGTGGATGTTCTATCGAAATGGTAGTAACCACTTAGGAATCTTTATATATCTCGTGTAACTCTCGGGATATATGGATCATTGAAGCAGAATTAATCAGTTTTTGTTTGTCCCGCTGAACAAGATCCGGATCATCCAAGAGATGCAATCAAAAGTATTGGTCTTGCAGCCTATAATTTCAGCATAAGTTGACAAAGTCATGTGAGTAACTAGATCCAATTCCTGATTTATGCAGATTGAGATGGGGAGCACGAATGTGAGAATTGGTTCCACCATATTTGGCCCCAGGGATTATTCCAAGAAGCAACCAAATTAGTGTGCTCTTTACCTGATGTGTGGGTAAATTACATCGGTCCATGCATGTAACCTTGTAATTAATTGATTGAGGTATCTTGCGCTTACTTGATTAAGTTCCTATGATTTGGTTGATTACATTTCTACAATGGCTAGGCCCCTAAATTCATTGATCCTGTAGATAGAGACTTGTCATCTGAGGAATTGCTTCAGGATCATTGCAGTTTCTATACATCAACGGGCATTTTTTTCAGATGGAAAGCATCTTGGCGATGCTTCTTAACTTGCTCTACATGGTATATCGTGATGATGATCATGGAGCTGTAGGTTATGATGACAATCGTGATCACATCGAGGACTAAAACGCATATTTGTGTATATCGTTTACTACAGAAGCTTGAGTATATTTTCCAATACTTCAGAGAACATGCCGAAGACGGAGACTTTCAGAGATTATGTATTTATACGCTTAAGCACGAGTATCGTACTAAGGATAGCTCGTACGGTTGAATGAAGTGAAGGATTTGAACATCAGTCCGCATCACAATTTTCATGAGATTTGAGAAGTGAAGTGGAAGGAAGTTTTTGGACGCTTTGCCACGGAAGCGAAAAATACGAACCGCCTGCCTTGCGAAACGGCATGAAGTATCATTGCATGTGTGCTTACTCCTTTATAACTCGCCCATTCCGATCTATTTTTCAGGCATTTTATAATTGAACCATGTACTCTATTATGCTCTAATTGAACCATGTCAATCCATGATTTCCTAAAAAGGTTAATTCTTGAATAGTTGGACTTCATTACTAATTTCTGCTAGTTATTCAGGTTTAAATAAGATGCGATATCATCAAAAGCACAGTATACAAAGTGATAATTAAGATATAGCGTAACTTATCCAAAAAGTTATAAACCTATTGTAGAGCGACCAATTCAATCTAAAAATTTTAATTGTGTCGAGTCAATTCTAAACATTATGACGATTTGTTAATTTAGTGTCAAATCGTTTGATAATTTATCAATATAGCCCTTCCGGCCAATTTTAGCCAAAAATTACAGACGTTGACAATTTTTTTTTCTTTTTTATTAATTTTTTTTCTTTTTATCCTTTTCTTTTTTTCTTTTTTTTTTTTTTGCTTTCTATTCCTTTTGTCGTGTGGCCGGCCGCCAGAGAGGGCCGCGCTCGCTGGTAGGCGAGGTTGCCGTTGCCGGCCAAAGGTGAGCCTAGGCGAGGGCCATGACGCCTTCATTGGCCCTCACTTGTGGCCAGTTGTTGCCAACCACAACAAAAAAATGAAAAGAAGGAAAAAGAAAAGAAAAGCAAAAAATTCAGAAAATAAAAAAATTATAAAAATTATCCACATCAGTGTTAATCGCACCGTGAAGGGAGGCCTGTATCAAACGCCAATGATTTCCAACTAAAATTGATTGAAACGATGACATTGGCAAATCATCAAATAAAGTAATAGAACAAGCACCTTAAGGACCAAATCTCACCGGCTCTGCCGAAGCAGCTCGGGAAGCATCGCAATCATGTCGTGCTTCAAGAGGCGCTCAAAGGTGGAGCGAGAGACCAGCTCGAGCAACCGCAACTCCTTATTGCTCAAACTGCTTTCGCGTCGACACAGATTGGATGGCTCGATGCTGAGTGTCCTCCCCCGCTGAGGCGACTTTCGATTCTTGCTCCGGCTCCTCATCAAAGCTCTCATGGCCTTCGGGAGCAACGAAGGTTGGGAACGTTTGCTCGGCTTGGAGAGGGAGATGGAGGGGAGAGAGCGTGTGGGAGCTGGTGACAACCGAAAAGAGCGAAATAGAAATGGGTTGGAAATGGGTTGATCTTGAAACCCATTTAGGCCAAATATGGTACTCAGCAAAGCTTGTACGTTTAAATTAACCGAAGGATTTCTGAGCCAAAAAAAAAGTTAAGCGAAGGATTAGATCATATTGAGAGCATCAGTTCAATTGAAAAAGTTTCTTTCGACACTTTGCTAGTGAAGCGAAAATTCCGAAACCGACCGCCCCCCTCGAAACGACATGTAGTAGTATCATTGCGTGCCCCCCTCCTCCCCTTTATAAATCCCCCATTTTTCGATCGAATTTCCAAACATTTTATTTTTCGAAAATTCTATTTAATCTCCGAAATCTCTCTCTCTCTCTCTCTCTCTCTCTCTCGGCGACTCAGCGAAATGGCCATGCCGAATCTGCCGCAATCGCTGTCCATGAACGCGCCGTTCGGGGCCGGGCCGGGCGCGCCGGCCCCGGGCGGCGGCGGCGGCGGCGGCGCCGGGCCTCCGGCGAGCAAGGACCGGAAGATGGCGTCGGCGGAGCAGTTGGTCCTCGACCTGTGCAACCCCGATCTCAGGGAAAACGCCCTCCTCGAGCTCTCCAAGGTAAGACTGCACAGAGGGACTGCGATTGAGTCTACGAATTTGGTCTTGTTTTCCTTTTCTGGGTCGCGACACGTCGTTCGGTAGTGTTTTTTCTTACTGGGCATTTGATGTTTGCTGGTGTGTGGGTGCGCGCGCGCGCCGGGAAAAGAGCGGACTTTTAACAGATATCCGTGTGAATTGGTATGGGCGTTGACGGAAGATGATAAATTAGGTTTTTGGGTGTGATTCTTGGATTTGCTTTGAACGACGGTAGTTTTATCTGTGGTGGGTCGATTGGTTTTGGGCTGATTTAGTGTAGGGAAAGATCGAAATTGAGGTTCTTGGACTTGCATGTGGCTCGTTTTGTTGCTATGGCATTTTTCTTGATGCGATTGGAATCGGTCTTGAATGGTGAAACGGAGCTCTTTTTGGTGGGCTCTCCACGACACACCGATCACCCACCAAAGAAGCAGAGACTCTGCTTTCATGTATCTATAGAATCTAAGATTCAATAAGGTTATAATAAGGCTCGACTTAATAGTGGGGTAGGGTAACATGTCAAAAGACTAATGGAACAATCCAATGGAGGATGACCATGAGTATATGGGTCTTGCAAAGATATGGTTTGAGGCAGGTGCAATGGCATGAGAGAATTTATGCAGTTGATTCAACTTAGCGAGAAAACTCTTCAAGGTAGTAGTAGCGCTGGTGGTTATTTTATTATCATTTAAAATGCAGAAAACTTTTTTTTTTCTTCGGTCAGAAAATGCAGAGAACTTTGAATTGTCTTCCTACAATGGAATTGCTGTATTATGAGTGTCTGTCGGCTTTTGGTTTCATTTCATGGAGCAAGGAACTAGTTTCGAGAACTGGCTACTTTTTTGTTGTTTCGGTTTGTGCATTTTGTGATTGTTGCACTCATGCAGGTATGGCTGATATATCTTTGTTTTTATTGTTACATTTTGTAGAAGAGAGAACTGTTTCAAGATTTGGCTCCACTGCTTTGGAACTCCGTTGGGACTATTGCAGCACTTTTGCAGGTTGGCTTTTATGCAAAACATGAAGCCTTAAGACGATTTGTATCTTGCGCATATTTTATGTTTCAAGATCTCGATCTTTTAATATTGTCTTTGTCGTTTACCTGAGTGCCCTATTGGTAGAAGATATTGGACTCCTTCCTTGGTTGACAATTATATTTTTCGTTCGTCGGAATATGAGATACTTCTGTGCTTCTTTTTGTATGTTTAATAGGCTTCCTGAATTGCTGATATGATCTACCGTTGCTTAGTTTTATGCTTTTTTCATGTTCTTATGTTTAATTTGTTATCCATTAGGAGATCATCTTCATATACCCTGTCCTGTCGCCACCAAATTTAACTCCTGCACAATCAAATCGAGTCTGCAATGCTCTTGCCCTTCTTCAGGTAAAGTTTATATCCTCTTTCAGGTGGTTGGATCTTCATATTACTGGTGCGACTTTACCATCATGGGGGTGGCTCGTCATTTTTTAAAGTCCTTAGCTAGCTCTCACTCCAATATTGCAATAGAAGTTTGTCGGAGTACATTGAATAATTTATACCAATGTTTTCTCTTCTACTTATGACATTGCATTCAGTCCTAGTCAGTGATGATATGGCAACTAGTTCTCAGAATATTGTTTTTGCTTACGACTTTAGGTCCTCATTCTTTTCCTAATTTTGCCTCACATTTCTATTGTGAGACCTGTAAGGATTTTATAAAAGAACGTGCATATGCATTTTGTGAAACCATTTAGCTTTTCTTTTAGAGTGTTTTAATGCGATTTCTGTCTATTCTTCCTTTGTCTACCCCAACTCTGATAATGATGAGTCCTGTCTTTTGTGTTGTACAGTGTGTAGCCTCTCACCCTGACACAAGAATGTTGTTCCTCAAGGGTAATATTCTAGATCCTGTTAAAAGGCTATCTTCATTGAAACATTGTTGAATAAAGCATAATTCTTTTTCTCTTACTTGTGAAGTTTTAATATCAGAAATTACCTAAAGTTATCTCTGAAGCATACATGTTCTAGAGAAAGATTTATATCACAAAGTAAAAGTTGTGTAATTATCAGGATTATCTAAATTACGGATTTATAAGAAGTCTCAAGGTCAAATGTGATTCTTAGAGGTTACAATTTTATGTGGTTTGGGATATATACCTCAACCGGATCCATGTTTGCACCTATCATCGGATAAAGCATACAAACGAGCTAGCAAGTTACTTTAATAATGACTCTAATGATTGCGTCAAAATGTGTAGTTGGAAATTTGGTTGCAGTAAACAGTTTTTTAATGAAAGGACAGTCCGTTTAGCCTTCCATTTCACTTTATAATCTATGAAAGATGATAGCCTCGAGGAATTTTGATGGTGTCGTGTGACATTGGCTTTCATCAGCAACGATTGAACATTTATGACCATATGGTTGATCTTGACAACTTGTCATTTTGACAATAATCACCTTATCATCGTGTTCCAATAAATTGCTTTGTCCGTGATCGATGGCTTATTATCATAATACTCTTTATTTCTTTCAGTGTAAAGTCATCAAGCATGTTTTATTGTTCTTCTCACAAATAAAAATTCCTTTCGACTGATACTTTTCTTATTGCAACTTTCTAGCTCATATACCTTTATACTTGTATCCTTTCCTCAATACGGGGAGCAAGACGAGGCCATTCGAGTATCTGAGACTGACTAGTCTTGGTGTCATTGGTGCCCTGGTTAAGGTATTTGATTTGGACCAACATACTATCTCTCTCATATCTCAGTACATTGACTTTGCATATGCGCATTTACATGAAATTATATACTTGATCCTTGACTTTGACCACTAATACCTTGTAACTATAACTCTGAATTTTTTTCCATTTCACTAGATGTCTGAGAACTTATTTAATTGTAACCTTTCTTTTAACAGGTTGATGACACTGAAGTTATCAGTTTTCTTCTCTCGACAGAAATTATACCGTTGTGCCTTCGAACTATGGAGATGGGTAGTGAATTGTCGAAGACGGTTAAGTTTCTTCTTTGCTAATTTGGAGATATGTTTACATAAAGCAGTATTTCGATCCATTAGCTGTCTTATTTCAGAATTTTTATTCTGATTTTTGAATTACATCACGCTCATGGCTTTTTTTCCGCATGGTGCTATAAGATCAATAATAATTGGTCACCCAATTTCTCTACTTTTTGCGCAACACATAAGAAGAGTTCTTTTTGTAGATAAAAAGTTCATATGTGCCTTCCCCCATTGAAAGAATAGGAACAAGTCTTGGGAATTATTAGACTCACTTGATTTTATAGAAGTTTCCTCCTTTGGTTGAGTTTGATTCATGTGAGCTAGGGTTATACGATGAAGCTTGTATCTGTTGATTTAGATCTTGAAACAACTTTTGCAATTAGTTCCTCAATAGCCTCATGTACAGAGAATGCCCCTAATACCTCTTAATACTGAAATTATGTATCTGGTATATAAAATTACTTGAATGGATTTTGTCACCTTCGTCAAGTTGGTCTCTGCTTATGGAACATGTCTGGGAATTCTGGTATGTTGCTCAAATGATTTTGTTATTCGAGAAACTTCTTGAACTGCAGTACTGTAGAGTGATAACATAGTTGGTCTATCTAATGTGAATTTTTGTGTTAGTATGTCCATAAAAGAAGATACTTGTCCAAAGTTGTCATAAACTTCATCCTTTGATTTTTCTCCCGACAGGAGACTGCAAAGCTATAATGTTTATTTTCTGTTCCTGCAGGTTGCAACATTTATTGTTCAGAAGATTTTGTTGGATGACTTGGGCTTGGACTATATTTGCACCACAGCTGAGCGGTTCTACGCCGTAGGCCGGGTTTTGAATCACATGGTTGGAGCACTTGCTGAACAACCTTCATCGCGGCTGCTGAAGCACATTATTCGTTGTTATTTGCGTTTAGCAGATAATCCAAGGTTGTCTATTTGGAGCGTTCATCTTTAAATAGTTATCGTGTAATGGCTTAAGTATTTGTTTGGTTGACAGAAACTGTGTTTCTGTTCCCTTTCAGGGCCTGCGATGCATTGAGAGGTTGCCTTCCCGAAATGTTAAGGGATGGCACGTTTAATTCTTGTCTGCGTGTAAGTGCTTGTAGCCACGTCCGCTTTTTCTTCTGAATAATGGGAAAATAATTTGTACATCAGTCAGATTTTCTTCATTAAGTGTACTCCGAAAGCTAGAGCTACCCTGTGCGGATGTCCTCTATGTTAGCTTGTATGCGGTTTAAATTCTTTTTAGTGTCATGGCCTGATTATTGTTGTTGATCTCTGTTTTGCCGATTGCATGTCTTTAGAAACTTTTCTATATATGCGCTTTGATGGAAGTTTGTATCGTGGTATCAGCTGCTGAGTGTTTAACCACTGCCATTGCCTTTGAAGATGCTGTCTTTCTATAATGTTGTTATTATTACCTGTTTTTATCATATTAACAACTTGGACTAACCAATGAACTGCCTTGATGCCCTTATTTTCTAGTCGAAGGCATATTCACCGTATCTCGTGGTTTTTTTGCTGCAGGAAGACCCTACGACTAGGCGATGGCTCCAACAATTACTTAGTATTGTAGCCGTGAACCGGGTGCCCGGGCTTCAAGCCGGCGGAGGATTCGATCACATGCTGTGAACTAGAAAAGTACAGTGGTGCACATTTTTACAGAAGTTAACATCCAGACTGTTGGTCCAGTAACATCCAGTATAGGAATGATTTATCATCTGCATTCAGTTCTGTCCTAGTTTTTAAGTTTTGTTCCAGATAGAGTAGGCTAAGCTACAAGCTTTGGCAGTCCTTTGGGCTTCCAAAAAGTAGTTTCGTTGTGTATGAAGGGAAAAGAGAGCCTCACATGATAGTGTTGTAAATGAACAGAGATGAGGCTACTCTTTCTTTTGGTTGGATTTGAGTGAACAAAAGCAACTGCTTGTACTTAAAGAAGGAAGCGAAAAGCTGCTTGGGCATTCACAATTGAGCTCTTTGCGTGTTCTTGTTGGGTAATCTTCGTTTGCTTGTTGGTTTGGTTCTGGCTTCTTTTCACAGTTCAAAAAAAGGCTTGAACTCTAAGATTTCATACCTGCGCTTTTGGTTTTACTTTTGTTTGCGAGGAAACTATCTTATCTTAAGACATATTAGACATTATACATGATCTTGAATAAGTTCTGTATGTTCGTTTTGAAACCTTATGGAACTATAACTAGACAACAGGCTTCCCCCTGTTTTTAGATTTCAGAGTTTGTTAAATTTATGTTTACTAAAACTACGGTTTTACATGTTCATATTCAACTTATATAAATATCTGATATCTAAAATGTTCTAGGGTTACGTCAGTGACAATTTAAATAATTAAAGAAAATATCACGCAAAAATGATGTGAATAGATAATTTAGTATTGTATGTTCATGTTCAAATGTCACTTTTACTATAAGATTATGGATTCTATACTCACTTATATGACTTAATGCTCTGTATATGCATAAATATGTACGTAAGATATCTCAAAACTATTGTGAAAAATATTTATCTCTTAGCCAAGTGATTTTGCTTGATCTTAGGGAACGAGGAGGTAAGAAATTTCTCTCTTTTTCCTTCATCTCTAAGTAGAGCCTCATATTTCCACACTTTCCACTCTAATCAATATCGGAAAAGATCACATCCTTGAACTCTCGTTTCGCATGCCTCAAAACTTGTATGGGTCTCGTTCACATGGTACGCTAAGCGAAATCTTGTAATTTAGCATATCCTATCATCAACGTTTAATTTGAAACGGGTCATTGGCATGTGAATAATGAACTCGAGCGTGTCGGATTCGCCCGTCACAAATAAAAGAAGTCTTCGGGTTTATGCGCTTAAGCCATTGTAAAATATTTTCGATAATAGGGTCGGTGCAGGATTAGAGAGAGAGCGAGAGCATAGAGTTTAAAGAAGAAGAGATGACAGCGATTGATTACACCAAACCGCTATAAAAGTTGTACTTTAAATGAAATGACAAATTCAGTGTTGGCCAAAACCCTAAACAAAATAACGACTTCAAACTTTTCTTTTTCGGTCAAATTGTGACAACTCCCCATGTTTTCTTGCAACGACTTAGACTAGATTTAGGTCTTTATGGTCTATACTCGGCAAATTCTCGTGTCAGGAAATTCCCGATGAAGTTTCGCTATAAACGACAAAAAAGATTTCCATAAAATATAATATTATAAGCCTTTTTATGGCAGTTGAATCTACACGTTTAAGGAATTTGTTTTTCCTTTTTGGTCGGACATATATGGCAGTTGAATCGCCAAGCTTATCGAACAACTTTCAATAGTGAGGACATCATTAATAACAACGAGATCTCCAGGATTAATCCCATCACGTTTCAAAAACGCGCAAGATATTGACAGTTTAAAGATTAAGCAAATCATTTTACTACGGAAGACGCGAATCATTAAATATTGAAACAAATTATTAGTAAAATTACACGATAAAAAAATTGTAGTTAAATGTAGAAAGAGAAAAAAAACAAAATTTAGGGAGGTAATTGTAGAGTACAGAATGTCTAAATTTTGAATATTAAAACATGTGAGAGATATAATATAATTATTAACCTATGCAGCTGTCCATAGACATAATGTTCATAAAATTTTTAGGAAAAAACGATTGAGGTTTCTTCAAATTAGGATAATTCATGTCGCTTTATATCTTAGTTTGATATAAATTAAAATTACAAATATAGTCAGCGGAGGAAAAAAAAAAAACTTCTCCAAAGGATCTTGGTGCCGTAGGTAGACCGGTTGGAAATTGAAAGGAGCGGAAAAAAGGGTCAAAGGCGGCTGCTAGCATCGAAGAGAGCCGTCGTTGTCGACGAGAAAGTGGGAGTTCGGATTCGGCGAACAAAATCGAAATTCGTACATTGTTTGGGTACTGGCGAATATTGTTTCTTCCGTAGTAAATTTTGGGATCGCGCTAATTTTATCCCTCGAAAATTTAATCTGATCTAAGATAATCCTTATCAGATTTTGCATCGTGCGACCTTGCAAAGAGAATTACTATGTCCGCAAAGAAAACTATGGAAAGGGATTAATTCCCCCTGCACCCTTTTCTCTACAAATTGTCATGGAAGCTCTACCTTTAGTTACTTACCTCACCATTAAAGAAAGGTGTGAGCTCCATCTCAAGGCATCTCCAAGCAAGGGGGCATCCCATGTTTGTAGTGCAAGGATGTGTCATATCTTATGGCCTAAGGATAATGAAAAAGATGCTCTTTTTCCTTCTTTTTCACCCAATTGAAAACGGTGTCCTTATTAAGGGTCGGTCCATCAATGAATTTTCGCGACAATGGCGAATTACTCCATGACATTTTGAAGATTGTCAGCGACATGCACTTAACGTTGACTCCAGTAAAATATTTGTCACATATCTTATCACATAATCATTTCGTGATTATCTATGGAAGGTCAATAAATAGAATATCTTCTATATATGAGAAAAAATACATAAATGGATTACTCAAATGTATATTGGCAAAAGTGACTCGCCCGCCTTTTATAACGACCAAATTCAAGGCCTAAGGATAATGAAAAAGATGCACTTCTCTTCTTCTTTTTTCACCCAATTGAAAATGGTGTCTTTATTAAGGGACGGTCCGTCAATAAATTTTCGCGACAATTCAAAATGTCGGGACGTGCTCTTAACGTCGACTCCGGTCAAATTCTTGTCACGTATCTCACCACGTAATTGTACGTGATTAGCTACGGAATGTCAATAAATACAATATCTTCTATATATGAGAAAAAATTAAATAAATGGATTACTCAAATAATATATATTGGCAAAAGTGACCTTGCCCACCTTATAACGACCAAATTCAAAACTCACCAGACACACTTTCTCTCTCCTCTCTCCTCTCTCTCTCTCTCTGTCTCTGTGATCAAAATCGGAACTTGATCACCAAACCTTGCCTAGATTCTCGAAAGAGATGTTTTTTCCGAGCCGCCTCGTCTCCGGCGACCTCGCTCCCCTCCCTCCGCCGTCGCCGGAGAAGATCTACTGGGTCTCCGCCGTCGAGGGCATCCTGAACTACAAGTTCAAGAAGCCGGCGCTGCTGGAGGAGGCCCTGACGCACTCCTCCTTCCCGGACGCCCCGTCCTACGAGCGGCTCGAGTTCGTCGGCGACTCCGTCCTGGAGCTCGCCGTCAGCAACCACCTGTTCCTGGCGCACCCGGAGCTCGACCAGGGGCGGCTCTCGAACCTGCGGTCGGTGAACGTCAGCACCGAGAAGCTCGCCCGGGTGGCCGTGCGCCACGGGCTGTATCGGTTCCTCAGGCACAATGTGCAGTCCATGGACGACAAGGCAAGTACAACTGCGAAATTTGACTCTCTTTGTGTTCGATTTTCTTAGATAAAAAATAGCACTTGAAAGGTGCTCTGTTGGGTGAATTACAGAGTGTTTACTGTTTGGTATGATATGATCTCTGTCGAGTCGACTGTTGGTGAGTAAAGTTCGAAGGGCAAGCAACCAGGCATCACCCATCAGTGTAGTTTGTCAGACAATCGTTTTTTCGCATCAATTATTTGTCCCGGAATATAATCCTTAGTTTTTTTTTTTTTTTAGTTCTACCAACATAGCCTTGACGATGCATCTTGGGCATCACGCAATCTGACCACAGGGTTGGCCGATGGGTGACTTGAATTTCAGGGCTTCCCGGAAAAAACGGGGAAAAGGAGACTCATTGCATCGAACACTACTTACGAAAAGTCGTTCTTTTTGACATTCTATCTATTTTGGTGGATTGGAGAGTAGTGACCGACCTGGTATACGGGTAATGGATCCGTTCTAGATTAGTGATTGTCGTCAGTTTATATAGCTAAGGTCACTTGAAATAGTTCGAGTATTATGTTCATGTGACTGGTTCGGTAAAAACAAGTGAAAGTTTGGCAAAGCAGGTTCATAGCTTACTGACTTTTTGCTATGTTTTGCTAAGTGACACTCTAGCTTTTGGTACTGATTTGGCGATAGGACTCTGTAAAGTGAGGCCAATAGTTGGATGTCTATGTTCGGTTTTCAGAAGTTGACATTTTCTCTCTCTTTTCATTTAAGCTTCAGCTGGGTCCGCCAAGCCAATCGACGGCCCTGGATAGCCACTTTGCGGCTGTTGATTGTTAAGGGTAGCCACAATGTGTTTGGTGGTCCTTGTTATTGGTTCAAAAGAAATGTTGCTGGGATTGGTTCTATTACATCCACTAACATAGAATGAGGACATACAACATTTTCATTTCTTCCGAAAGCAAGGCCAATGGACCCTAGCCCATCTTGCTTTGCTTGCAATGAATTTTTATCAGAGGAAAATGTATAAGGGTGACACCACATACCACGTGACATGTGATTTAGTATTGCCAAACCAACCGAGTATGCACTTGATCAATGTGCAATGAGCAATGGCACTTCATAGAATGAGGATATAATGCCAGCACGTCACATTGTGTAATCATTACCTAATACAGTTCTCCTTCGCAAGTGGCTAATCATTTTTGTAACTGAAGTCTGCATTCTCTTTTCTCAGCGGAGTGCAAGGGTAAATATCTTTTTTTATGTTGTATAGTTTTCTTAAAATGTTTACAAGAGGAAAAAAAAAGTATTGCACCTGGATATTTGCAAAGAGAATGTTAAGCTGAAAAGATCTCCATTCTATCTCTACGTGATCTAAAGTGTGCAATTCTCGAGAGATTTTCAAACTGCCTTCTTAGGGAACTTTTCAGAAGGAACATTACCATCCAAAATCAGTGCCACCTTGTGTACTAAATTTCTGTGGCTGGAATATTGCTTGCGAATTCTTTGTTTCTCTAGAAAGTTGGAAGTGTAATGGCTAGACGAAATGCAACAATCTATTTATTTGTTGTAACTCTATATGCAACTATGAATGTACAAATTGTGTAATATAGTAATGACTAATGAGGTGTATGATCGAGTTTCTATCTGTTACTTGTTAGTATTCTCTATTATGCTTTTTCATTGGGATGTTTCTAGCTATTTTGCAGGTTACAGAGTTTGCCAGAGCAATTGAGGAGGAAGATGATGCTGTTGCACATGGGGGATCAGTTAAAGCCCCAAAAGTTCTTGCAGATATTGTAGAGTCTTTGGCAGCTGCTATCTATATCGATGTCAACTTTGATCTACAGAGATTGTGGGTGGTACGGTGTTTCTTTCTTCAATAAGATAGTCCTTTATTTTAATATTCAAGTTATCCGTTTTGTTATCATCATCGTCTTTAGAACAGATTTGTTTGGTACATGTTTAGATCTTCAGAGGTTTACTGGAGCCTATTGTTGGCCCTGAAGAATTGCAGCAGCAGCCTCAACCGATCACAATGTTATTTGAGGTTTGTCAAAAGCAGGGAAAGAAGCTAGAGATAAGGCAAGGGAAGAAAGGTTCAACTAATATAGCTAGTGTCTATGTTGATGGCAATTTCATTGCCTCATGTTCTTCCGAGCATAAGGAAATTGCTAAGCTTAATGCTGCCAGGAGATCTTTGTCTCAATTACTAGCACAATTAGAGCCCTCCAACCGTGGAATGATGGAAATAGATGGGTTTGATGGTCCCTTTGAAATTGAGGGAGCCAAACAGAAGTTGCACGAGCTTTGTGACAAAAAGAAATGGCCCAAACCTATCTACCGGTACACTTCCTTCTTCATTTGATTTATTTACCATTGGGGTGCTTGCTTTGCAGATGTTAAGTCTTCCAGGCAGTTTCCTTTCCTCTCTGCCTGTTCTTTTGGATTTTATTGCAAGAACCAATGACATGTCCAATCTTCTTATGATATTTAGTCTTGCATATACTCTATGAAAAGATGTAAACTCTACGAAAAGATTTATGAGTGATAAATTTGGCAAGATTTTATCATGACCATAATATTTTTGGTATTTTCCAATGAGATGAAATGATGAATGCCTCTTTTTTTCTTCTTCACCAATGGTTGTGCTCTTTTTTTCTGCTTCTTTCTGCTAAAATTTCATGTAAAATTATTCTCTTGACGTCAGTCCTTTTGACTTGCAGAAAGAATGAGTCGGGCCCTCCACATAGTAAGAAATTTATTTGTACAGTTCAAATAGCTACAGTCGATGGTGTGTACACTATGGAGGGGGAAGAAAGATCAAGAGTCAAAGATGCAGAGAACTGTGCCGCTTCCCTACTGTGCCGTGCCTTGCACGAATATAATTATCTTTGAGTCTCTCCTGAGCGTAAGAATTTGGAGAGAAACCCTTTGCTAATTCTTTGCAGCAGCTTTGTCCAGAAGATGACTCCCATAAACAAGGGGAGTTCTCTGTCCTGTGATGAGCTTGCAAAGAAGCAGTTATAAGAGGATGCATTCTCTATATTCTTATGGTTGGTGGAGACTTATAGATAATTAGATTTGTTCAAAGCATGGAAGGTTTGGGTGGGTAAATTATTAGATACATGTCGCTTGTATTTTCTGATTGGATTTCAAATTTCTCATTTCTTTTAGTTCTCTTTCCAGTTGTTGAGAACTGGCATAAATGTTCAGGTTACCATTTCCAATAATATGTTATTTAAATAATCAATTTGGCAGTCAGTATAATCTTCACTGCAGAAGTCACAAAGCACTCGATATCGCAGACCGATGGTATCTACATTCGTTACAACCTCGTTTACAGTTGAAAACTGTGATGAATCCTAGGGGACTCGGTTCCTCTTATTTCATTGCTTCAGAAAACCTCAATGACATGAAAAATATGTAACTTAAGCAACATTATTGCCCTAAGTGACATGTACTTGGCAGATCTTTTTTATTTTTCTGAGTGTGTTTGTTTCCTAGTAAATTATCTTTAATATGAAGAAAAAATTCGTTAGAATACATTTGGATGGAGAACCATTTACAAACCATTTTTACCTCAAAGGTTTGAAAGACGATAGTCGGTTAGTGCTCGACTTAGATAACTAAGTGGTGGCGGAGAAGACAGTGACTTGCTCACAGTTGTATGAGGAAGTGGCTGCCTCCGCCGATTGGTGGTGGTGATGGACCTGGCGGCACTGGTAATCGGCTATTATGGTTGTGGTGTTGGTGGTGGCAAGTTGTGGCAGAGGCCACTGGTGGTGGTCAGGTGAAGTAATAAGCCAAAATCAGTTTATGGAAAATAACGTCCAATTCTTGAAGTCAGAGATTATGCAGATTGCAGGGTTTCCCGACTAGATAAACTTCCCGGAAGCTCCTCAAGCCTCTTCCATCAGCCACATTGCATGACATGATTTCAAGAAAGTCACTATTCATCTATGCCAGGGGATGTTCAGTTCGTCTCTTATTCTTCTCTTGTTAGGCTTATTATGCTAATGCCAAAGCATGAAATCTGACTTGGAAAGATAAGGAACAAAGATCCACGCAAGCAGCGACATTTGTGGACAGCGTTGCGGACACCGACTCCTTTATACGGAAAGATTGAAAAGTAAAAAGCTACTTAGCTTTATAAGAACATCCAAAAGATGATCGTTTTGATGTGCGTACAGCAAGAACGTTCTAGTGAAATCAACTCCTCGCGCGAGTCTAAGTGCATTTGTGGACTACGTCAGACAAGTGAAAGAGAGTGTTTATTGATTTGTAAAGTATTGGGTAGACAGAGAAAGAACATTATGTGGTTCTCAGAGGGTGCTTTCAATCAATTCTAGCAGACGAGGAATTTGTATTCAGGGTTCCTCCAAAAAAGGTGCACTGCAGTGTTGATTCTGTATACGGCTACGAGCTCATCTGAAATTCCATAGGTAACTCCGAGATGTTACGATGCATGCGGCAAAATGACAACATCATATGAAAGAAAGATAAAAAAAGGTGTTCCGTGGGACTACAACTTTAACGACCTTTTTGAAAATCCGAAAATAGTGACGATGGCCATGGCTTCTAGTAGAATTTCGTGTGGAGAGAGCTGGCAATGTCCCCGGTAGCATCTGTTCTCCACTAAATTAGTCTTTTCAAGTTGATGGAATAGGGCAAGTTGATGACCTCCACTGTTGCTGATGATGCGGCCGATTTGGGTGAACTGAACAGAAAGACAAATAAGCCGGACAGTGTTGTTGTCCTTAACGGCGGTATCATAAAATCATACGCTGCAGTATCCACCCCCTACATGGATTGCAGTGGAAGAAACGAAGAGCCTCCCTCCTCCATACTACTCTTTTATACGAAATTACTTACAGAAACCAAGTAAATTTTGATGAACAGTGATGCATCATCATTGAGAATAATATATCAGCAATTGTAAATATATATAAGTACATTGATATTCTAGTTCAGTACAAACGACATCCCTTAATCAGGTTCCATAAGACCCGAGCAGATTCTCCTAATCGCCATCTCAACTCGCTAGACTAATATGATAATCCTAAAGAGGAATGATCAATGTGGAGGAATAAAATAGAAGAGAGAACTGCATAAGTTCAATAGACTTCTAGACATGACAAGTAGACCCTACTTACATAATATAGTTGGAGAAAGATGAATGAAATGATACTTCTGCCTTCTTTTCATACAGTAGCTGATCTTCAAAAGGCTTTCTGATAAATCCCATGGATCTTCTTCCATGATTCTTCCCTCTGCATCTTCAGCTGCTTGTAGAAGTTCCCAATGAAGGTCTCGGCTTTGGTGAACAGCTCTTGCCTGCTGATCCCCTCAGCCTGCTCTGGCTCTTCGTCTTCTTCACTGTCTTCCTCACACTCATATTTCTCTGTCTCAGCCTCTCCGCCACCAATGAAAAACAGGCTCGGCATGGAGGGGCACTTCTTGACCTTCTCTTTTTTCGCTGCGCCAGCACTCATCTTCTCAGAAGCAGATTTCAGCACAAATTTAGTCTTCCTTTCATTGCTTTCAGGAGTTCTCTTCTCAATGCTTCCAGGAGCAATAATGGGTCTTTCGACAGCAGCATCTCCTTCTTCATTAGGAGTTGGAGGTGTGTCTGGAGCAGAAATCACGGCGGTGATCGGTTTCGGCACATGATTTACAGTTTTTTTGTCATCCGAAGGCTTTGAGAAGACTGAGAGAAGGCCGGCTTCTGCTCCGAGTGCTATGATGAGGAGGTTGAAGATGAAGTAGAGGTATGGAGACCTTAAGTTCGAGGAGAGAAGCGGTGTCACTATGAGAAGTGCAAGTAGAAGGGTGAGCATCAACACTTGGGACTTCATGAACTTCTCCATTTGGTGGTGTCTTGGAGGAAGTTGGTGCTGGGTCCGTGGCTTATTTGTCTGAGAGTCAGATGATCTGAATGTTAAACTGGTGGGACTTGGGGGAGTGGGGACTGTCCAGTGAAGATCCTCAGACAATTATATAGAGCAGGCAGGAGAGAGAGAGAGAGAGAGAGAGAGAGAGAGAGAGAGAGAGAGAGAGAGAGAGAGATGGACATTTTCTTGGAAATTTCTGAAGAAAAATTTGAGAGCTGCATCAGTCAAAAAAGTGCGGAAGATATGCATTGACTGACCAAATGGGTGTTATCAATTGCCAAAGAAATTCTTCCATTCCTAATCTTGTATTTGAAATGGTAATGATGCGGTGTGTATCTACTAGCTCATGCATAAATCTTGAACTAATAGCTCTCTGAAAGTTCAATTATGAAATCTATAGTCGATTCTCTTTTCACTCTCTATAAAAAAATAATGAACTTCTCGAATTGTTCCAAGTTCTAAATAGTCTTGGCAGGCCCGCAAGATGGGTCCGACTTCACCCTCTATGAGAAAATAATTAACTTCTCAAATTGTTCCATGTTCATAATAGTCTTGGTAAGTCCGTAAGATGGATCCGACTTCACTTTTAGAAATATCAAAATGGCTTATTTTTTCCCCAATATTTTTTGTTTTTATTAATCTTGTAAGTTTCGTTTGTTAGTTATTGGAGCATATCTTTCCTTGATTGCATTTGGCATTGTTATTTTTACGTAATATTCTAATCTTAGTTCATGTCATTACAATTTATAAGCCATGGTCAGCATAAATCATCTTCTTCAATATTCAAATCTTCCACACATTATTTGTTACTGTAATTTAATAAATTCACTACCAACTATCAAGTACTAACATTCTTTTATTCTTCATTGTGAATCAATACAAAAATTGAAAATTCTATGTAGTGTTGAAAGCCAATTATTTAGCATCTTATGGTCTAAATAGTCTAAATGGGTCAATTTGGATAGAACCATTTTCGACCCAACTCAAATTGACCCACCGATTTGACGAACCTAAGCACGGGTCACAAGTTTGAAAAGAGTAAACTTTAGGACATTTCACCAACCACAATGAACCAGCACACTCACCCCTTAGATTGTATCAAAACAAGCTTGCCGAGCACCGGTTTCACATGGCAAGTTCTTGCATTGACAATGTGCGAGTGTCACGGAATGTGATTCTCCCGTACCCTCGTACCCTTGTGAGTTGAGCTTGATGCCGTCGGAGTGAAGAGTGGGTGATGTAGAGGGAATGATACAATTGATTTGTGGGAGTGGCGTCGGGGTGATTTGTGCTAGGAGTTCTAGGTTATAATGAATATATCCTTAGGAGCTCTGAAAACTGGGTTGATCTCCATTGCACAAACTGATCGGGAGTTAATGTCGCTCTCTTGATACGACACGATACGATGATGCTATTCGTCGCACTGTCATTAGGAATAACTATAGATTGAAGGCTAGCCTGGGGTCTTCTCGGCTCGCCAAGCGCCACACGGGCTATTCCGCTTCCACAGAACTGTCGGCCTGTCCGTGACACGAGGACGTCTTGAGGCGACGAAGTAATCCGGAATCTTTGAGGCCAAAGCAAAGCACCTAAATAGATAACTACTATTGACGTTTGCATGCATGCTCAAGGAGGCAAAATCAAGATAAAACCACACCAACTTTAGAGAGAAAAAAATCAAAAAAGAGAGAGAGAGAGATAAGGTCGGTGAAAGCAATTATTCTTTGGGGGCTCAAAGAACACCAAACTTTTCTTTTTCTTGTGGGGGTGGTGGGATGGGATGGGATGATCACGGCTGGACGAAGGCCGGGCCAACCAATTTTCTTGATGTTTGCTTGGCTGCCTCATGGGGGCTGCCCCCCTCATCTCCGACGCAAACGTGGTATTCGCACGCGGGCCCCACGAAGGTTGTTCGGGGCCCCCACTTTGGAAAAATTTGAGGATCTTTTTGGCGCGATTTTTGGACCCTCCCCCGGAATATCTTGCCCCTCCAACCCTTCTCCACCGACCCACTTGTGTACCTCAGTGCGGTTGTAGACCCCTACGGAGGTGGTCGATAAGGTATCGTACGTGCCATGCCAACGTCTTCGATAACGCGTGAAAGAAACTAATTATTATCGAGAAGATAGAAAGTTTTGAAAGTTCGAATTCGAACTTAATCAAGATGAATGTCGCGTGGATAATGCAATTGGGTTTACTTTTAAGCAGTTGATATGAGGTTCGCGTTCATATATTGCCATCTCTTGTCTTCGATCGAGATGCTTTATCGCTCTACTCCCCTTGACAAACCACAAGAAGTTCCGTTCATGAATGCCAAGCGTGTATGTCACTCGAATCTGGCATTTTCAGAATCGG